AACTTTGCTAACGCTTTGTCTGCTGGTTCATAGGCAAGGCGTGGCTCTGGAATTCCAACCTCGACACCCCCATGTGTTCTAGGAGCCAATCATTGTAGTGCGGAGGCTCTGCGGGGGGTCGCGAGCCTGAGTGTCTTCTCTCCTTCGAGCCCTTTTAGTCCTCATTCTCTCAGGCCTGGAGTAGCGTGTCCTAGAAGTCTATGATTGTGTATCGCCCGACCTGAGGCTTCTACTTTCAGTTTGTGATAGTGTGACTTGTCTGTCACGATCTTCTAAGTGGCAAGAGTGTGTGTTGCCTTTGCGCCTCTCTTTTGCTGCCACCCATTTGCCTTTTATCTGGTTCTTCATAGACTCTATGTCAGCCGCCATTCTTCTTATTACTTCGTTTTGCTCCCTTACGCGATCTTCGAGAACCTAAGAATCCATCTCCCGCCTCTGTCTATCAGGGCTTTGAGAGCGGGGTGGACTTGAGCCCTGTCTTTTTCTCACTTCTCTCCGCGGATTCCTTCACTGGGGATCTAATTCCGCCATGGGTGGGATAGAAGGTAAACCTTCGGGCCTCTCACCTCCTTCCGGGGTTTGCCCATCTATAGCAGGTTGCGAAAAATCTTCGTTGTGTGCCATTGATTTCAACTAGAGAGAAAAACTCGATCAAAAGGTTTTGTTCTATGTGTAATTCTCACAGACGGCACCAATTGTACGAGCATAGAAATAATCTTCTCGTATAATCCTGTTGATCAAGTTTGCACTCCTCCCAACGTCGTCACTTTGCCACCTGAAAACACAAATGTGAGCTAACCGGCGGGTGTGTGTCAGAAACCCCTCTGATGCCTAAGTCAGAAACTAGACAATAGACAATAAACAATAAACTCTGTCTATTCTAGAGTAAGAATTGGAATACCTGTACAAAGGTCTGGTCATGAGCTTTTATAGATTCTGCTTGGCACAATCCTAGTAGGATTCCAACTCTCCCTATGAGAATCCTCCTAGGAATCACACACCCTACTCACTACCAACCAAGTGAAATGGTTTGCACAATCCCAGTAGGACTCTAACTCTCCTTAGCAGAGTCCTACTAGGAGTCTCATGTCCAAGGATAATGCTTACCCTCAGAACACCCTCATCATTGCAAGCCAAGTGAGATGGCCACCCCCTTTACCTTGGCTGACACCTTTACCTTGGCTGACCCCTTTACCTCGGCTGACATTGCGGTCAACCAAGTTATTTTGGGCCTGTGCTTAACTAAGTAATGGAATAGAAGCATCGACCGAGCTACACTTAGCTCGGCTCTCCATCATACCAAACACCTCGGCCAACCCTTGGGCCTAGTATTAGGTAGCTCGATCAACGCCTTTGTCCAGTTTGGTACTCAGATAAAAAGAGACCGAGCTACCCGACGTCCACACTCCGGTCCTTTAGTTCGGCCCACAACAGAAATCAAAGGATCGTGGCTCGGCCCAATTTTTCGTTATAAATTACCCTCTCATCTTCTTTCTTTTCTTTTCTTTTCTTTTTTTTTACTTTAAATCATTTCTCTTCTTTCTTTTTTTTTTTTTCTTTAAATCGTTTATCTTCTTTCTTGTTTTTTCGTCTCAAATCACCCAATCCAGATCCAAATGGGTTGTTAGAGACACCCACCATGAAAGAGAAATCCATGATAGAAAGTTCAAGCGAGAGATAGTGAGACACCAACCATAATGATCTTATCCAATGTTTTAAAAATCGGACCGATAAATTAATGGAAAAAGTAATTAGGCGGACAAATCACCGATTCAACTGTCGGGTTGAACTGGAATCGAACCATGACGTAATAAATATATTAAAATTATATTTAAATAAAAATATAAGTAATAAAATTATAAATTAAAATTTTTTGAAAAATATCAAATTATCTTAAATATTTCTCCTAATATTTTTTTACTAAAAAATATAATAATTTGTTTTAAAATATTGTTAATTTAATTTTGGCAGTGTTGCTGTTTTAAGTGTGTGCCAACTCACTAATGGTGTTTTAGAGCACTACTTTTAGTGATATGTATCATTGCCCATTTTTAATTTCTTTAACTCAGCCGGTTCGCTTGATACATCCCCGAGTCACCTGGTTTTGGCGGTCCAACCACCTATTTTTTCGATTCTCTATAAATATGTTAGTCCTTATGTTAGAACGGTTTAAGGGGTATATCCAAATCAAAACTCTAACCAATTCACAGCTCAACCGGTCAAACCGACCGATCCTATCCAATTTTCAAAACCATGAACCTACCCATTAATGTCCTCACAAAAAGCTTCACTTTTTTGATAGCAAAAGAGGAATAGAAACATATACTATAAAATTAATAAATTATATAGTTGGCCTCTCATTTTAATAAAGTTTTACTTTGGCCTACAAATTGCGTTTCTGATAGGGTAATTTGTATAGCCAAATTGGGCCAAGCTATGAAGCATTATTTCTGAATATTGGGTCGCGTGGTGGGCCAAGTTATGAGCTCAGGATAGCTCGGTGTGGGAACAATGGTTGATAGGCCGGTCTGTGAGCTCCAGTTGCGATCAGTGGGCGAGCCAAAGTGCTATGTCGGCCACATATAGGAAGCCGAGCTAGAGGTAGCCCGGTGAGAGGATTCAAAGCAATTGGTGATCGTGCGGCCCGGTCAGGGTATTTGCGCCAGGTAGCTCTGCTAAGCGTAGCGAGCCAAGCAAGGTGATAGCCATCTCACTTAGTTGGCAATAAGTAGGGTGTTATCAGAATATGCATTATCCTTGAAAATGTAATTCACTCTGTTAAAGAGAGTAGAGCCCTACTAAGATTGTGCAAACCATCTCACTTGGTTGATAATGAGTAAAGTATTATCAGGATAGACACTCTTCATTGAGAGTGCGATTCCTAGGAGGACTCTTATAAGGAGAGTTGGAATCCTACTAGGATTGTGCCGGGCAGAATCTATAAAAGCTCATAGCATGACCTATGTACAGGTATCACAATTCTTAATCTAGAATATACAGAACTTATTGTTTATTGTCTAGTTGTTGACTTAAGCATCCGAGGGGTTTCCGGCACACACCCGCCGGTTAGCTCACGTTTGTGTTTTCAGGTGGCAAAACGACAATGTTTGGAGGAGTGCAAACTTGATCAACAGGATTATACGAGAAAATTATTTCATGCTCATACAGTTTCAATATAGTTTTATCATCAATTGTAATTAGCAATTATAGTTAGCATTTTAAATTGAAAAAGGTCCCGTGTTAACAATTCCCACACAAGAATTAAAAATTAACAAATTATACCAATAATCTCTATAATTTATTCTAAAGTTCACTTTGATCCCTCTAATTTCACATGTATTATTTTTTTTGCCCAAAATCTTAACGGCAAAAACTAAAATAAAATTTTGTTCAAATTAAAATGATTAATGATTTAATTTAGAAAAATGCTAAGAATGTTAAATATTTTACTAAATATTCTATCAAATATCTCACATAGTGAGTCTCATATAAACCCCAGACATTTGATAAAATATTTAATAAAATAGTTAGAATTTCTAACATTACTCTTTAATTTATTCCAATAAAATTCTTTCACGCTGTGGCAAACTCAGTAGCTTCCATGAGTTATTATTCCATAATCAGGGAACAACAACTCAACAAGTTAACAAGTAGTTCTCGAATTAATAAAAGTGCACTGAAGCCTAACAAAAAATCCAATTACAGAAAGAGAAAAGATTTGTGCCTCGAAAAATTTGTGCCCCGAGAGAGAGAGAGAGGAGGCTCGCAGCTGGCCGCCCCCTGCCTCTGCTTCGCCGCCTCCGCCGGCCGTCGCCTCTGCCCGATCGTCGAGCCCCGCCTCCGCCGTCGCCCTCCGCCGGCCGTCGCCTCTGCCCGATCGTCGCAGGCCCGCCTCCATCGCCGCCTCCGCCTCTGCTTCGCCGCCTCTGCCCGCCCTCTGCCTCTTCCCCCTGCATTTTGCCCCTGCATCTGCCTCTGCCCCCCCGCCCCTGCCTCTGCCTTTGCCTCTCCTCTTGCCTCCCCTCTCTTTCTTCCTCTTTCTTCTTCTTTCTTCTTCTCTCTTTCTTTCTTTCGTCTTCTTCTGAACTTCTGATTGCAAAAATAAAAAAAATAAAACGACGAAATGACGTCGTTTTGTCGTTCCGAGGCATTCGGGGGAGCTCGATTCGGGCTCTCAATCGCGGTTGTTACAAAAATCGGCACAACCCTGAGTTACACATTTGCTAGTGAGATGTAAGGTACGTTTGGTTTGGCTTTATAGGGTGATTTTTAAAAAAAAAAAATCTAAAAAATTTGTTTGGTTTGTAATTTTTCTAAAATAATTTCTAAAATCACTTTTTTTCTCTTACACATCAATCAATCACTTTTTCTTTCTCCTCTCTCCTTCTCAATTATTTTTTCTCTTACACACATCTACTCAGTTACAATAAAATATCAAATCATTTTAAACTCCCACACTCCAAAACTACTTTCAAAATACACAACCAAACAAATCAAAAAAATTTCTAAACTCTTTCTCCAAAATAATTTTAAAAAACTACTCTCTCAAAACCAAACCAAACATACCCGTAGTCTCTTTTTTGTAGTTTAAAAAGGGTTACCTTTTTTACTTTTAAGGCCATTTCCTTTCAGCAGTGTATACTTCATAGTGCTCCTGCACTTATTAAAGAACTAATTAAAATACTCATTTGAAAAGCAATCTTTAATTCCTTTCAAACGGAAAAAGAAAAAAGAGGGGTCATGCTACCAACATTCCTATCTATGGGGTTGTCGTTATTAATGGAGAGATAATATCAAAACAGTTAAAATTAAAGTGCACTTTTTACATGTTTTAAATATTTCTACTCGTGTTTATACACCTTTTACATGCATATATCAAAACTAATAATCACTCAATAAATGGCCATTAGCATTTTCGAATGGGGCAAAAAGCCAAATATTCCTTCTCCAGCGTTCTATGACCAAAAGCACCCTCAATTCAAGAGAAATTAACAAAAAAATAATCACAATGAAGCATAAATTCTAAAGATAAAAAAAGTTGTCCAATCCAATGTATTTCCATATAACAAATCAGAATCTCTTCTCTCTCACAGTATACATATACCTAATGTAATCAAACCAGAGAGTTCAAATCCAAAGTAAAAAACCCACAAGCATAAGAAGGTACATTTCCAACAAGTCCAATTATTTGATAGAATGAGAAATAGAAATTGGCAGAAACACCAGTGAATGCCCATATTAGAGGACCCAATGTCATGTCTGCCGATGAATCAATCAACCAAACTTCTTAACGCTCATCAGAAGCATGCATCGAGGAGGCAGCAACAGCACAGAGCAGCCAAACTACACAAGTTTTCAAATTGAATTATAACCATATCAGCCTTTTTCTTTTCATTTTATCTTTTTTTGAATCAGCAACAAAAAAGAAAATATTAACGAAAAGAAGTATGACGAGTGGGACTCGGAGTCCGCCAAAGAAGGATAGAACATAAAAAAAAAAGAAGAGCAAAAAATCAAAGTCACCATTACAAATCGTACACTGCCCTCCAATCCTTAGAAGAAAAAAATAACAGAATCCCTTTAAAAGGAGGAAAAATTGAAGCCCAACTGAGGACAAATAACATACTATGCCCCATAAAGAGTCCAAATATCCTCAAAAACTCTAGTATTACACTCGAACCAAATAACCCCCAAAAGAGGGGGAAAAACCTTTACAATCGATGATCAAGAGCCATTGAGAACAAGTAGTGGGAACTACCCAACAAACATATCAACTAAGTTCCCTACTGTTAATTTCTTTGCAACCGATACGGAAGCAAGTCCTACACAGCTTAAATCCCACTGTGCATATTCATCATGTACATTTAAGTTCCAAGGCAAACCAAGCATCATCGTCAAGTTAATCTAAGAAGTTTCATAGATAATCCCTGGAAAATTTATATTGATAAGGACATTTCTTGAACTGCACAAGTTTTCAAATTGAATTAGGACCATATCATATAATTTCTCCATTGTTAAATTCTCGGCAACCTATACAGGCACAAGCTCAGCACAAGCTTAAATCCCACCATGCATATTCATCATGTACATTTTTGTTGCAACGCAAACAAACCATCATCTTTGAGTTAATTTAAGATGTTTTATAGAGAAACCCAGGACTATTTAAATTGAATATAATATTTCCTTAACTTGTGCCTCTTGTTTAACATATTTTCACAGGGTTGCGATTATAAAAAGCCTCGGTAAATATTCTTGGGAAAAATATATTTTCTGAACATATTTTCTGAAGGCAATTACGATTATAAAAAGCCTCAGTAAATATTCTTGGGAAAAATATTTGGCTAGTAACAATATCCAATGGTTGTTGCTATAATACCATTGCTATTGCTATAATTTGACAATGAATAGTGCTATTTTGCCAAATTATAACAATGGTGCTCTAATGGTCACTTGCCATTTTGGCAATTCTCAACCAACTTTCTTTCCAAGTTTATAAGTGTTGTCTGGATATAGGTTTTTTTGTTTATTTTTTGTCTTTTATGACCTTTTTTTAACTATTTGCAAAAAAGATTATATATTTATATTATTCCCGACTAGACAAATATAAAAAATGAAAAAAAAAATTGAAAAATTAGAAATTTTTTTTATTGATGTGCCATGTTTGACAGTTGCTATTCTACTGTTTTAATTCTGTTTTTTTAACTGAATTTGGAGCAACAAATCTGTTCATATTTGCTGATGTGGCATGTTTGGCAGTTGCTATTCTACTTGCCAAATTTGAGAACAGAAATGACATATGCCATCTTTGGCAAATAGAATAGCGAGCCATTAGAAACTCACATTTTGTCACTATTGCCAAATCATAGCTTTGACAAGTATTTTGAGAGCTCCATTGGAGATACTCTAACTTGTACAAAACTTCTTTTTTGATGAATCCATGTTCATTTATAAAATGCCACTAAAAGAGCACCAACTGTGCAAACAGCGTATGCAAAACCAAAAATCCCAGCTAAGCATCTATAGATAACTAATCAAAACAACTTAATTATTAAATGCTTAAACATTGTTTCTTGAATCTTGTCACAACCTAGAACAACGATCAGTGTGTTTGGTTTGAATTTTTAGAATTAAGTTTTTTGAAAATTGAGTTTTTTGTTTTTCGTGTTTTTTTTTATTTTTAGTGAATATTTTTAAAAATTTTAAGCATTTTTTTTTACTTTTTTAGATGCATCTTACTTAGATATGTCTAAAAAATAAAATATTTGTGAAAAAATATTTTAAAAAATTATCAAATATACAAAAATATGAAAAATATACTGAATTTTCGTTTTTTTTTTTTTTGGTATTTAGTGAATTTTTTAAAGATTTTTTTCACAAAAATTATACTGTGTGTGTGAAATTTAACTTCTCTTAAAAGTCATTAGAAAAAGGAGAAAAATTAGGAAGATAATAAACATACTAAAATTTTTAACATTAATATTTAAATAATACTATGTCAACATTGCACTGATAACAAATTGAGTAGAAGCTCTATTTTAGATTTTCGATATGAATAAGATTAGAGATTTTCAATTGTGTATTTTATTTTTTTTTAATCATATTTTCTAGCAACTACTCATGATAGGTGTGAGGTTGAGATCATTAATGCTATGAATTCTATCCACTTTGTTTGGTTTGAATTTTTAGAATTAAGTTTTTTGAAAATTGAGTTTTTTGTTTTTCGTGTTTTTTTTTATTTTTAGTGAATATTTTTAAAAATTTTAAGCATTTTTTTTTACTTTTTTAGATGCATCTTACTTAAATGTGTCTAAAAAATAAAATATTTGTGAAAAAATATTTTAAAAAATTAAAATTAATAAATACACAAAAATACAAAAAAATGTACTGAGTTTTCGCTTTTTTTTCTTTTTTTTTTTTTGTATTTTTTAGTAAATTTTTTAAAGATTTTTTTCAAAAAAAATTATACTTTTTAAGTGTATTTATGTTAGGTGTGTCTAAAAATTAAAAAAAAAAAAGATTGCTTAAAATATTAAAAAAATTCAGTAAAAAATAAAAAAATAAAACAAAAAAAAAAAAAATACTAAAAACAAGAAAGTAGAATTTTTTGAAAAGTGTTTTTAGAAAACTCAAACCAAGCGGTTGCTTTAGTTATTAAAACTAAAATCAACATTTTTGGGATTTCATATGTAGAAACAAAAGAATCACCAGGAATTATACCTAATAATCCACTAAGCAAATGACTCACCAAATTGACAGCTAGGGCCAGTTCAAACTGATTCGAACAAGGCTCGTGGTTTTCATATTTTATAAATGACTTATGCTCTGTATTTTATGTCTGCTTACTACTTGACAACAAGCAAACTACTACTAAGCTCTATTGCATTTTCCATCAATTAATTATATATTTATTTGAAGTCTCTATCATTTAATTAATTAGTAGGTAACAGAGGTTGGGGTCCTGTTTTCTGGTTTTGGTTTCAAGTCTCACGGTTCCACCACTCCCCACTAAAAACACTATATTATAATAAATAATTATTAGGTAGAAATGTACACAACCCTGTTACCAAAATACCCATTTGCATTATAATTTTTCAATAATAAAAAGAAGAAAAAATCAAATGGAAGTCTAGGCATTTTCACTGAATTCAAATATCCATATGGCCTAAATGAATTAAATACTACTTCCTTTCCTTCAAAATTTGAACAAAAACTTGAGTTGTTTATATAATAGTAGATTAAGTCAACATGACAAACCTCATTATCTCCAAGTGAATTAAAATTGACAGAAACAACCTCCAACAACCCACTGTAAGAAGGGCATTTTGGGAACACCGACCCAAAAAGGGCAAGAAGCCCCAAACCACCACCAACAGTGCTATAGCCGAGCGAGTTGACCCGTTATCAACTCAGATCAAAGATTTGAGCCATCTTAGACCCATTTTTTCACCAAAACAACATGCATACATACATACATACAGATATAGAGAGAGACGGTTAGGGGGCGTACCAGCCTTCAGCAAAACCACTGCCGCCGCCGCTTTGTTGGTGTTGTTGAGGGGGTGGATACTGGGGAGGGTAGCCCTGAGGAGGGTAACCTTGAGGAGGGTAGCCTTGTGGATATCCTTGTGGAGGGTAACCTGCCGGAGGATACCCTTGCGGAGGGTACCCAGGTGGAGGGTAAGCGTCCTTCGAATACCCTTCTGGAGGATAACCTATATAACCCACAACACCAAAAACACCAATATCAACAAAAACAAAACCAAAACCAAAATCAACCCATGTTCCAACTAGATCCAATCAACCCATTACACAAATTTCCTTGAAATTTCATTGTTATCAAATCAAATGACTTTCTATGAATTGAAAAAAAAAAGAGAAAGAAGAAAGGGGGTTTACCTTGAGGAGGAGGGACACCAACAGGGGGTTGTTGGTTGTAATAACTCATGTTTTTTTGTTTATGTTTATGTTTTTCGGGTGGTGTTGATGTTTTGTGGTTTTGGCTAATAAAAGACTTTTGTTTTGATTTCTTCAAAGAAAGTTTAGGGAGGGAATTATATAATTGGATGGGCTTTTTTTATTGGCTTTTTATAGTGTTTGTCACTGAGGAATTTGAGGAGATATATCGACTTGGGAGGATTATACATGTAAAAAAATTCAAGGGCCAATTACACAAATTAGGGGGTTTAGTGGGTATTCTAATTCGTCTAAATTGATCGAAACAGATAGATTTGTTGCCTTTTTTATGCATGTGTAATGACAACTAGATAGTTGTGAATTGATTTTTTTTAACCCACTTACTTTTGAACGGATGGCAGATTCGAAATTCCTTTAACTGCAACCGAATCGCCAAACCGCGAGCAACCCTAATAATTTGAAAATTTTGTGTTTCAATTTGCATTTTTTATGCATGTGTATTGACGATCGGATCGTTGTGGATTGATTTTTTTCAATCCGCCTACTTTTGAACGAATGGCAGATTTGAAATTCCTTTAACTACAACCGAACCGTCAAACAGGGAGCAACCCTAATAATTTGAAAAACTTTTGTGTTTCAATTTGTTTACATATTCTGTTTGTATTTTCAATTGAAAATGAATTTAGATATTTTGTTATGTTTTCAACTTGAAAATTCTCTTATCAAATGGTAAATGTTGATATTTGATATTTTTTTGTGAAAAATATAAGGCTTGATTTTGTCAAATTTTTTTTTAAATCAAATTAAATAGATTTGAATAAAAAAACAGTAATAAAATAGTTTTGATAATGCATTATTTTCTTATATGTATTTATTATTAATATTTGACAATTTACTTGATAATTTTTTGATTATGTTGAGTTGAATTTTTATAATAAAAAAAATATGTATTGACAAAATGTTATATTATGTTCAAAGTTTGTAAAAGTTTAAACTGTTAAATCGATTTGTATCCATCCGCCAATCTAGCGGACGTATGCGGATTAACTTTTTTTCAATCTACCAATCTAGTGACCGAATGGCAGATTGGAGGTTCTCAAGTCTTAACCGAACCACGAACACCCCTAACACTAACAAACGCTATAATTTGGGGCTCGTGTTATTTTGGTCTTTGACTTCTTAATTGCAATATATTTGATTTTGAATTTTAAATTTTATTCCAAACAAGGATAATTGAAGATATTATTACTAAATTTTAAAGACAAAGTGGTCAATTTGATAAAATATAAATTAATTTGACAAAAATAAATGTCAAAAAAATATTTTATAAAATTGATCAATCTTTTAGACATTTATTTATTTATTTATCAAATTAATTTTTATTATTTATTTGGATGATGATCATGTAATGGGTGGTTATTAGACTTTTAACGTATAACCAATATATTTAATATATGAAATGTTTTTAGTTTTTCATTTTTTGATTTAATGAATTGGTTTAATAATAATATCAAAGTTGCCGTCATATTTGACTTTTGAAAAAATGGAAACTAATTTAATGAAAATAAAAACAACCACCCATTACATAATCATCATCCAAACACATAATAAAAATTAATTTAGTAATAAATAAATAAATAAATAAATGTCTACAAAAAATTATCAATTTTACATAATTTTATATTTAGTGGGTAAAAATAATTTTTAAAATTTCAAAAATATTTTTTTTGCTATTTATTTTTATCAAATTAATTTATATTTTATTAAACTGACGAATTTGCCTTTGCAATTAAGCAATAGTATCTTCAATTGTTCTTATTTGAAACAATATTCAAAATTTATGGTCAAATGTGTCACAATTAAAAAGTCAGAGAAAAAAATAATACAAGATTCAAATTATAAATACTGTTAGTGTAATTCGCCCAAGATTCAATTAGCGAACTATGATTAAATATTTATATATCTTTTATACCGAACTGTGAAATCAAGAGATTGATAATATAACATTTTGCTATTTTCATCAATTTTTTGGTAGTTGTTTTATTAAAAAAATAATATATCATTTATTTTATATTATAATATATATTTTACCAAGAGAATTTGTATTCATTCTTGTTATTTGATTTTATTAAAAATATTAGTATAATTATATCAAATTTATAAGATTTATTATATATATATATATATATTTTTTTAATCTTGAAAACAGTCATGTAATTTATTATATTTTTTTGTTAATTAATTGCATACCGAATATTATATACTAATCATTAATACATAGTAAATTGTTCAAAGGATTGTCTTCATTCTCATAATTTCATATGAAAAAATATATATAATTTTTAGAACGTTGTGAACTCACCCTTCACTTTTCTCTCGTGTAGGAAAAATGTACTTACTCGTATAAGGTTGTGAAAAGGAGATTATCACGTAAATTTATGTTTAAATGATAGGAATAAAAAAATATATTAATAATACGATTTGAGACTCTTTCATAGGGGCTGTTTGGGAATAAAGTTTGGCTAAAATAGTATATTAAAAGATAAAATAAGGTAAAATAGTTAATTAGACAAAATGTTATAATCAATTCATAATCATTTTATTTTTTCTCTCACAATCATCAAATCAACTATGAAAAAAAGGCAATCAACTTCTCAAACACAACTATTTTAGTCAAGTTAAAATAGTCAAAAAATTAAAATAACCAATTAAAATAGTCAACTTCCCAAACAATGCCATAATTATCTTTTGGCGCATCAAAAATAAATACATGTAACATTATAGGTTATTGAAGTAAAATGAGATTATCACACTAAGGTGTCATTTGGTTCAATTGAATAATATTAATTAAAATTAGAAATTTTAATAACTAAATAAATAAAATTAATTTTTTTGAAACATATTATCAGCTTGTTTGGTTTTGATTTTCAGAAAATTTTAAATTTTAACTTTTCGTATTTTTTTGTTTTCAATGAATCAGTTAATATTTTAAACATTTTTTTTAATTTTTAGACATACATAATATAAATACACTTAAAAAATATAATATTTGTGAAAAAAATCTTTAAAAGATTCACTAAATATCAAAAATATTATAAAAAAAATGAAAATTCGGTACATTTTTCGTATTTTTGTGCATTTATTAATTTTTAAAAATATTTTTTCACAAATATTTTATTATTTAGATACATCTAAGTAAGGTGTATCTTAAAAAATAACAAAATTATTAAAAATTTGAAAATTATTAACTAAAAATATATAAAAAATAAAAAAATCAATTTTTAAAAAATTAAATTTAAAAAACTAAAATTAAACACATTGATTGCAATTATTTAGAGCATAGAAGTGAAATTAACCAATTCAACAGTTGGTACTGATGGGCATAGATAAAGGGAAAAAATATACAGCGCTGATTGAGGGCCCGAGACTTCGGGGCTCGAATGCCCCGAAATGCCATTTTAGGTAAAATAAAAAAAAAAAAAGGAAAAAAGAAAGAAAAAAAAAACAGTTTCCAAAAATGGAAATTAGGGGTATTAGGGCCAACTTTTTTAGGGCCACCAATCATTTTCCAAAAATATAATGGAAATTCGTTTGTTTCGATAATTTCAGAGGGCCAGTTGTAAATTTCCAATTCTTAATTCAGTCCCTATCGCTTGGTCAATGACACCATTTTTTGTTTTTTCTACACACATATTCCAAGTCTTTAACTTTTAAATTGAACATAAAAGTCTCCTCCAATCGTTTTCATTTTTGTTTTTTTTTTATTATTTTATTTTGTCGTCAATGCATTATTCACTATTGAATTATGTTAATTATGTTAATTTTTTCAGGAGTATGATTTAATGGTTTAAAGTATATATTAAAATAAGAGAATATTATAAAGATTCAATAAATTTTATTTAAGTAAATCCAATTTATATTCTATTATGTAAGCAAAAATTCAATACAAAAATTAGACTTTTTGATATAATTAGACTTCCTAAATAGTAATTAAAAAGAAGTAGACTTCCTAATATGATTGGTTTCCTAACATTCGACCGTCCTAGAATCACAACTTGTACTCAAGTTGGAAAATTGGGATAATGAGCACAAAAAACAGTGTGATCTTCCCAAATAGGTTCATTAACAAAATGACCCTTCTACTGAATGAGCCAACGTGTGACAGCTTGATTGTTCTGCTAAGTCAACATGTGACAGGTCAAGTTGACCTCATAAGAGCATGTAAGGAAATTGTAGAAGTTGGGGGTTGTGGGACACCACCAACTACGGTTTCAGATTCAAAATTCTCAACTTCGACTACCAATTCACCTTCCAAGAGAGATAATTATAGCTTTTGGCATCGATAACCAGGCTTATAAATCTCATCGCAATTAAAACCAAGACCCTTCTCACGTCGTTCCTTCTGTTCAATCCATGACAAACGTTTAACACCAATAGGCAAGGATGTTAACTCGTTAACAAGCTTAGGTACATAAGATATGTTAGAAGGCCGTGAAGAAAATGGACAAGAAATAGTCTTGGTCATATTATGTGCGATGGTTGCTATAATTGCATCCTCTTGACCAAGTGCTAGTTCAAAGGTCTTAGTTAGACTCATTGGACAAAGCAAACGAACACCAACCCTTATGTCAGCACGAAATCCAAAAAGAAAAACACTAATTTGATGCGACTCAAGCAAACTTGAAACCATATTAGCAAGTCGCTCAAACTCCGTAATAAATTCATGAATAGTGCCAATCTGAGACAGTTTGGCTAATAAACTACAAGGATCAATGCGTTGTCAAGAACCAAAACGGATGCATATGGCTCGAGAAAATTGCTGGCAAGTCAAAACCTCAAGGGACTGTTTAATCTAGCGATACCAAGAAATAGCATCATCTTAAAGGTGCACTGTAGCCAAAGGAACCATCTGTGCATCTAAAACACCATTAAAAGTTCTTAATATTGTTCAACCTGAAATAACCACCATTCAGAATCAGTACCGTTGAATTTTGGAAAATCAATTCGGAGAGTTCAACCTTGAAAATTTGGACCAACACGCCGATCGTTGTCATCTCGTTGTATAGGTGGATTAAGATTGATGCCAAGTTGGGGAAGGCAAGCATCACATTACCTATCTTGCAACAGTGCTTGGATGTTTTAAAGAATGGTATTATTGGTT